CCCCCAACCCCACCTCGCCTCTCACCCCCTCCAGCACGGGATATTACTGCCTGGTGCGCTCTCTGCGGTCAGTGTTGGTGTGCAGCTGGTGTCGTGTGATGATCACATCTCTTCTTGCACCCGGTTACCCCATTCTCCCCATCCTCCCCCTCCTCCTTTCCCAGTCTCTCTCTCTCTCTCTCTCACACACACACACACTCACTTCATACCCCTCTACACTTACACTCTCTATCTTACTCCAGGCCTCTGGGCTGTCGTGTCTTTCCATCCGCCCGTCTGTCCGCGGCCTGCCAACCCCGCCGCCCCCAACCACCCCCACTCCACAGCTGTTGGGACTGCAGTACGCATGGTCTCTACCGCTGCTGCACCGCGCGTAATACTTTAGAAGAGCAGAGTCGTTGGCTGTGTACGGCCGTTTATTATCCGTTTCCGACATGGCCATTAGCGGCTGGCTGCTGGCGCTGGCCTGGCCGCTCTGGTCATGTTTTGAATACCGCTTGGAGGGGCCACAGCCCCCCCCCCCACACCACCACCCCCTATAGCCTAGGTCCGCTGTGTCGGCCGGTAGTGATGGATTCCTGTCCTATGGGTGTCCCATTCGGGCTGTTTCGGCTGTTTCGGGGTGTTTCGGGCTGGCCTATCCCGAGTTTGTTGCAATTTGAAGTATTGATGCGAGTTTCCAATTTTCATGTAAGACTTATTGTTTTGATGCGTTTTAATGATTATATCTGTTCAGAATGTTTTATGTGTTTTCTGAAAATGATGATTTTAAAATTATGCATTTTCGTCTGTCACGAAAATCAGTCAAGTCGTCAAGAAAGAGGATTCAGAGCATATTTTGTTCATTCTTTTATTTGGTCAGTCTTATCACAAACACTTTTGACTAGCGACTATCCTGTAGCATGGTAATGATGCACGATGGTTCTAGATCTTGAAGTTCCACAAACGATTTCCGGCAGAACCAGTTTAGCGCTTGCGAATGGGGAGAGTGCTGCCGAAGGAGCCGCCGAAGGAGCTGCCGAGGGAGCTACCGAAGGAGCTGCCGAGGGAGCTGCCGAAAGAGCTGCCGAGGGAGCTGCCAAGAGAGCTGCCGTAGCCATATGCGCCGCCGTAGCTGCCAAGGCTGCTGTAACCCAGAGAGCCGCTCCCAAGGCTGCTGTAACCCAGAGAGCCGCTGCCGAGAGAGGCGCCACCATAGGAGCCAAGGGAAGCACCACCGAAGGAGCCGAGGGAAGCGCCACCGTAGGAGCCGAGGGAAGCGCCACCGTAGGAGCCGAGGGAAGCGCCACCGTAGGAGCCGAGGGAAGCTCCACCGAAGGAACCAAGGGAAGCGTCACCGTAGGAGCCGAAGGAGCCGAAGGAGCTGGTGGAGCCAAGAGACAGAGCGGGGGAAGCGCTGTAGGAGATGGCAGGGGCGGAGGCGATCACGGGGGCGCTGTGGGCGATGATGGGAGCGCTGTGGGCGATGATGGGCACCTGGACGGGGTGGGGCACAGGCACGGCAACCTTGTTGACGACGGGCACGGCCACGGGGGTGTGGACGGGCACGGGGACGTTCTCGTGGACGGCAACGGGCACGGGCTGGGCAACCTTCACCTCGTAGGGCTTGTCGACGTGCACGGGATAGGGCTTGTCGACGTTGTAGGGCTGGGGCACGGGAACCTCGACGGGGTAGGGCTTGTCGACCTTGTAGGGCACGGGGTAGGGCTGCTCAACGGGGATCTTCCTCTCCACGGTCACGGTGTAGGGCTTGGCATAGGGGGTGGCGATCTTCCTCACGATGTCAGTGTGGTGGTGCTCGGACACGATGTGGGGGGCAGGGAGGGCGATGGCGGGTGCAGCAGCAGCAGTAACGGAGACGGAGTCCAGGGCAGCGCCACTGTAGCCGGAGCCATAGCTGGCACCAGATCCGTAGCTTGCGGCGGAGGTGAAGTCAAGACCGGACTTTAAGCTAGCAGAGCCAGAGCCATAGCTGGCACCGGAGTTGTAGCCGAGTCCGGATCCAAAGCTGGCAGATCCGGAACCGTAGTTGGCACCAGAGCTGTATCCGAGGCCAGATCCGAAGCTAGCAGATCCGGAGCTGTAGCCAAGTCCGTTTCCGTAGTTGGAAACAGAGTTGTAGCCGCGGGACTTGATGCCTGAGTTGTAGTCGGATCCGGAGTTGGAGTCGACCTGAGTGCCGAAGCTGAACCCAGACAGGGCACGCTTCTTGTGGTGCTTCTCCTCGGCGGAAGCAACCACCGCCAGCAGGACGACACAGGACAGGATCTGCAGGAAAATAAAGAAACTTGTAGCAAGGTGCAACCGACCCCTTAAACACACACTAGCTTACGAGCAGATCTACTTACGAAAGTCTTCATGTTGTGAAGTGCTACTCCCGAGCTGCTGCTGCTGAGAGAGCTGTAGTGGATGTGATGCTTCTACCAGAGCGAGAAACGTCTTATATAGTCCGCAGTTCTGTCCATTAGAATTCTAAGGTCAATGTCGGCCCGAAGCACGTCTCTTCCTTTTTTGGTCCAGTTGTGCCAACGGTTTGCGACGGAACAGTGGGTGATGCGCCTCTGTGCGAAACGCGTTGTTTTATTTTAGTGAATCCGCGATTCGCTACAAGGTTCTCCAGATAATAATAGCAGATGTGCTTCCCTGTTTCGCAAAAAACACTGTCTGGGACCCAATCGAGAGCATCATTACCTATGAATATTCGAACCGATGGTACGGAGGGATGTCAAAATCTCTGTACTTTTTCTATGTGCATGCATTACTTTACTGTGCAAAATATCCTCGTAAATTTAGAACATTTGTTGTCACTTTTAGAGAAAATGTATAATGTTGATTTTTGTCAGCTCATTCTTGCTTGGCGGTCAAAACTAAATCGATGCAAATTGTTTGTAATTTTACAATGTTTAACTAGTATTTCTACACACGTATTTGAAAACGTTTTAGTAAATCTACAATAATTTTCACGGTGATTGCAACTGAATAATAATATTTTTTTGTCATGTTTTGTACCGCATGCTGCGGGATGGCCTATCCCTTCATTCGCATGCGTTCCATGAGTGCTGCGGGCTGGCCTACCCTTACCTTGGCAGGCGCTCTCGGGTGCTGCGGGATGGCCTATCCCTTCGTTCGCAGGCGCTCCATGAGTGTTGCGGGATGGCCTAC